CCCGAAGGACGCTGCTGGCCGAGGAGACGAGAGAAGACTGCAGGACGCTACTGGCCGAGGAGACGAGAGAAGACTGGAGGACGCTGCTGGCCGAGGAGACGAGAGAAGACTGGAGGACGCTACTGGCCGAGGAGACGAGAGAAGACTGCAGGACGCTACTGGCCGAGGAGACGAGAGAAGACTGGAGGACGCTGCTGGCCGAGGAGACGAGAGAAGACTGGAGGACGCTGCTGGCCGAGGAGACGAGAGAAGACTGGAGGACGCTACTGGCCGAGGAGACGAGAGAAGACTGAAGGACGCTGCTGGCCGAGGAGACGAGATAAGACTGGAGGACGCTACTGGCCGAGGAGACGAGAGAAGACTGGAGGACGCTGATGGCCGAGGAGACGAGAGAAGACTGGAGGACGCTGCTGGCCGAGGAGACGAGAGAAGACTGGAGGACGCTACTGGCCGAGGAGACGAGAGAAGACTGGAGGACGCTGCTGGCCGAGGAGACGAGGGACACAGGGAACACTCACGTGGGCAGAACGACACGTAAATTGTAACCAAGGAGAGGTGATAAATCAGGAGGTAAAGGAAGCGAGGTAATTGCCTCAAAACAGTAATAAAGGAAGACAAATAACGTAATACACAACAGACACTGAAGAATACTGTCAACAAGGGAAGCTCCGCATCTCAACCCGTTATGCTACTCTAACCCATCCAACACCAGCTAATAGTGGTCAAAATAGACGGAATTAAACTAAACTAACACACTAGACAGTAAATTAACGACGGTTTGCCATGAAACAATGAAGGCCAGGAAAGATGAGAAGAGGTAAACGACCGCACCGCGGAGAAGGAATGCGGCAAGAAGTACAATGAAATACAAAGGGAGTCGAAATGAGGTGATAAGTATGGAAGTAGAAGAGATGGGAGAAGGACTTTGTCCCTTCTCAGTAGGAAACAAGTCAAGGAACGATACCAGAGAGGGGGGGGGGGGTGAAGGACACGGTGGTGGTGACACGGACGGTGAACTGGGGGTGGAGGAGACGGGGGTGGCAAGGGAGGGGAACTGGGGGTAGAGGAGATGGTGGTAGCACGGGAGGTGGACTAGGGGTGGAGGAGACGGGGGTGGCAAGGGAGGTGAACTGGGGGTAGAGGAGACAGGGGTGGTGGAACGGGACGTGTACTGGGGGTGGATATGGAACGACCCACGACCCATGATGTAGTGACTCACGACTTAGTGATCCTTGACCTGGTGACCCCTGACCTTAGCTGGGGTCTAACTCCTCTGCATCACTTCTAGATTCCTTAATCAGCTCCTGTTCTCTGTCACCTGACTAAATATAGAAGATTCCCTTTCTTTTATATGTAACCTCTGTCTATTAATGGTACAACCAAAAACTTGTCTCTCCTTGTCTGGTTAACTCTCCAACCCGGTTAACTTACATGGAAGTTAAATGATGTTACTTTGAGTTATTTTTCTTCCCCCAAATAACTTTTGTCTTTTTCGTCTCTCTCTATGACTGTCTTTTCTGCCGCTTTACCACTGTCTCACTGCCTGTCAGTATGCTGCTCTCTACCTCCTGTCTAAATGGATGTGTTTGATGTAAAGCGGCAGCTCACTCTCCCTCTGCTACACTCTACCTCTTCAGTGGCTGAAGAGGAGAGACTGAGTACATTTCCTGATGCTTCGAGTTAAGCTAATTGGAACGCAAGTCAATTAAAAAATATATGGGTTGATTTGCTAATGGGTGAGCATAGAAGATGAATAAGAGAAAGATAGGGAGGATAGGAGAGCAGGAAGAAGTGTAAAAAGAAGGGGAAGGGGCAACAAGAGGAGGATTGGGAAAGAGAGGATAAGTGGAAGAAGGGCTTTTTGGGGCTAAGGATAGGATAACGGTGGAAAGTTGATGGTTGAACGTTATTTCGATTGTTACATGAATATGACCCATACAAACATAAAAATAGTTTTAGGGAGGGGGGCAGGGGGCAGGGAGAGGTGGATTGGGGTGGGAGTGGGTATGGGGGAGGGAGAGGGGGGCGTGCTGGTGGAGGGAGGTGTCGACTACATCAGTGTTACAAGTTGTAAATCAATGTTGCACTATTCAAAATAAATATTGCAAGCGGGCGGGGTGGAACGTAGCAATAAGTGACAGGTTTGATAGGTATGGAGGAGTACACGAGTACACAAGAGTAGGCAGGAGTACACGAGTACACAAGAGTGGGCAGGAGTACACAAGTGATGTATTCACTGTATGCTGCTCGTTGTTTATATGTACGAAGCCTTCGTAGAGAAGCTGCCGCCTCTCTCAGTTCTCGTATTTCTTCCTCCTTTTTCTCCTCTTTCTCTCTCCTTTTCTCTCCTCCTCCTCCTCCCTCGGCCTGTTTACGTGGCCTCTCACTAGTTCAGCCATGCTTTCTCTAAGATGTATTATGCCCATGCTCATTGCTCTAATTCATAAATTCCTCTAATGACAGTAAAACTTTTCGATATGATTGGGATCATTTTCCTTGGCCGCTTCATTTACCTCTCTCCCTCCTCGGTGTCCCTACGGAACTCTAGCAACACAATAGGTACACTGGCTAAGTAGGGCTTGCACTAATTTCATAGCAACTCAGCCCTCCTTCCGACACTGATGGGCCCTGGAGGGCAGCTCCTGTCGTGCGATGTCCTAATTTCCTGCACCACTTTTGGTGAAATTGGCAACTTTTGCTGACAGCTGCCGGTGTAATCGTTGTGGCGCAGTGGTAACTCACTCGCTATGCACTTCGTAAGGGATTTGGCCTAGGTTCGTTTCCTTGCTGGGGGTGGGGGGGAATAAGTAGGTGCCAATCCTTAACTGTTCGCCTCCGTTCACCCAGCAGTAAATGGATACCTGGTTGTTATATGATTGGTGGGTCATCGTCCAAGGGAACTCGTGGGTAAGGCTTTCCATGGGCTCTGGGAGGGGCAAGCTCTCAGCCTGCTAACTGGAGCCACCAGGCGAATGTTGCTCTACCCACCTGTGTAAAAAATGAAAAATGGGGTGGATGAGTGAGGCGATGAGTATGGGGTCACTCCTGGGTGACAGTGGCTGCGGTGTGTGAACTCATCTAGTTGTGCTTGCGGGGGTTGAGCTTCGGTTCTTTGGTCCCGTCTCTCAACAATCAATCAAGTGGTATCCAGATTCCTGGGCCTACTGGGCTCTATCATTTCTACATTTGAAAGTCAGCTTCCACCACAGCACTTCCTAGTGCATTCCATTTACTAATTACTCTGACAGTGAAACAGATCTTTCTAACGCCCCTGCGGCTCATTTGGGTACTCAGCTTCCACCTGTGTCCTCTTGTGCGTGTTCCACCCGTGTTAAATAATCCATCCTGGTCCAAGTGTGTGAGTGTGTATTTACTTTTTGTATTTCCTATTTGTGTCTGCAGAATCGAGCTATTAGCTTTCGGACTCCGCCTTTCTAGCCAATCTATTTTTCCTCTATTATATCTACTACACATATTTCTCTCTAATACATGCGCGCGCACACACACACACACACACACACACCCAGGAAGCAGCCCGTCGCAGTTGTCTAACTCCTAGGTACATATTTACTGCTAGGTGAAGAGACCATCAGGGTGAAAGAAACTCTGACTAATTGTTTCTGCCTCTGCCGGGGATCAAACTTGAGCCCTTCGGACTACGACCCCAGAGCGCTGTCCACTCAGCCGCAAGGGCCTGTGTGTATTGGTGTGTGTGTGTGTGTGTGTGTGTGTGTGTGTGTGTGTGTGTGTGTGTGTGTGTGTGTGAATACAAGCTGTGTGCGGCGCTTCTCCCGCCAAGATTGATCGTGTTTGGAACATGTTTATTGACAAAGACGTATCTCTGAATCCCCCTTCTCCCCCCCCCCCCAACAACACCTTAACCACCGTCCCGTATGCCCGACCAGACACTATTCCTCGCCCCTCTCCATATCTCCTCATCTCCAGAAATCCCATATGCATGGACCATTTCCTTTCTTCTCTTCCTTCCGTTCCGTTCTCTTCTCCCGGCCCACATTCCCTCCCATTATTCCCTCTTCCCACCAGTTTGGTCAACGGGGATGAAAATAAAACTTGGTGCGAGAGAAAAAAGGGCTTGAGGCAGAAGAGGTTTTATTAGAAGAGAAGGTTGAAGAGTAAGAGGTCTCAGAGAAGGTTGAAGAGGAAGAGCAGGATATCTCAGAGGAGGTTGAAGAGAAAGAGCAGGATATCTCAGAGGAGGTTGAAGAGGAAGAGCAGGATATCTCAGAGAAGGTTGAAGAAGAAGAGCAGGATATCTCAGAGGAGGTTGAAGAGAAAGAGCAGGATATCTCAGAGAAAGTTGAAGAGGAAGAGCAGGATATCTCAGAGGAGGTTGAAGAGGAAGAGCAGGATATCTCAGAGGAGGTTGAAGAGGAAGAGTAGGCTGTCCTAGAGAAGATAGAGGAGGAGGAGAATGATGTAGTAGTAGAAAGTAGAGGTAGAGGAGAGGGAAAATAGTGAGGAGCAGGTGGAATGACATGATAACATATAAGAGAATGAAAGACGAAGATCAGGATGACGTAGGAGGGGAAGACGAGGTAGATTAATGTGGCGTGTATAAGGGAGATGGGAAACAGGCGAAGGAGGAGACAGAGAGGGATGAGGTAGATAAGGAGGATGAATGAGGTTAGAAGAGATTGTGAAGAACTGGGCAGTTTATGAGACGGAAGAAAGGAAGGATGTCGATAAGCAGCAGACAGAGGAGGAGAAGTGAGGGTGGAGGAGAAAGAGAGAGCTGGAGGAGAAAAAAAGGGCCCAACGGGAGATAATAAAAGACTAAGGAGATGAAGAAGAAAAGTTCTGATGTGGGTAGTGAAGCACTTCATGCCAAGAGCACCACTAGACGGAGGGTAAGGTAAGAGGGTGAGGTAGGAACGGAGAGGGTGAGGTAGGAAGGGAGAGGGCGAGGTAAGAAGGGAGAGGATTGGGTTAGAAGGGAGAGGGTGAGGTTAGAAGCTTGCCCTATCACAGGCAAGTTCCCCGGCCCCGCACCCGTCCTCATATCTCTTGCCTATTGCTTCCAATTTCCTAAACAGAAGCTGTCTTATCATGTCTTCCTTCTCTTCCATACCCATCCCTTCCGTCTCTTCCCACCCCACCCCTTTATTATTTTCTTTATTCCCCCTGTTCCGTCTCTTCCTTGCCAGCCCATTACTTCTTTTGCTAGCCCGCATCTATGTTTTTTACCCACGCCATCCATTTCCCTCATACCTGCCCTTCCCATCTCTTCCTTGCCCCTCTACTTCCTCCTTTTCCCTTGTCTACCCCTTTTCCTTTTCATTCTTGCCCTTCCGTCACCTGTGCCGGGCACCCTTGCCCTCCCACAACTTGGTATTCCTGAGGGCGCTGCCTCAGTCTTCTGGGACCCGCTGGCCGACCCGCCACACTCGAGGACGTTCTCTCGCTGGCTTTAGACTTTATACACGAGTTAGTTAACACAGTCGCGGCTTCTGGTGACGCCGCCTCCGCCAGCCACCTGTGTCGGCTCTGCTGCTTCCAGTAACGTTTGGAGCTTTACGACACCTCGCAGTGGGGATGGTTTACGACAACTCGCAGTGGTGATGATTTACGACACTTCGCAGTGGTGTTTATTCACGATTCAAATGAGTAAAGGTAGCTTTCATGCGACGCTCAGTAAGCTAATTCCCTTGTAATTGACATATGATGATGAATAGTGATGGCCAGAGTATTACAGGTCCAGCTTGTACTGCCCTTGTCACCCCTGAAGGCACTCTTAGGAAGCAACTCCAAGCATGTACCACAGAGGCACCCTTCCTGGGCCCTAATGTAAAAATTCTTCTTACTCTAGTGAATACTGCTTCCTCTTGCTCCAGTGTATGCTGCTTCCTCTTACTCGAGTGTATGCTGCTTCCTCTTGCTCCAGTGTATGCTGCTTCCTCTTGATCCAGTGTATGCTGCTTCCTCTTGATCCAGTGTATGCTACTGCCTCGCTCTCCAATGTTTGCTGCATGGTTGTCTATCTTTCCTGTGAATGCTGCGGCAGCTGTTGCCTGGCAGACCCACCTTTCTCCAACACAAGCACACCTCTACACATAACACAAACACACCTCTACACCCAACACAAACACACCTCTACACCCAACACAAACACACCTCTACACACAACACAAACACACCTCTACACACAACACAAACACACCTCTACACCCAACACAAACACACCTCTACACCCAACACAAACACACCTCTACACCCAACACAAACACACCTCTACACCCAACACAAACACACCTCTACACCCAACACAAACACACCTCTACACCCAACACAAACACACCTCTACACCCAACACAAACACACCTCTACACCCAACACAAACACACCTCTACACCCAACACACCTATACACCCAACACAAACACACCTCTACACACAACACAAACACACCTCTACACACAACACAAACACACCTCTACACCCAACACAAACACACCTCTACACCCAACACAAGCACACCTCTACACCCAACACAAACACACCTCTACACACACAAAGACACCTCTACACCCAACACAAACACACCTCTACACCCAACACAAACACACCTCTACACCCAACACAAACACACCTCTACACCCAACACAAACACACCTCTACACCCAACACAAACACACCTCTACACCCAACACAAACACACCTCTACACCCAACACAAACACACCTCTACAACCAACACAAACACACCTCTACAACCAACACAAACACACCTCTACACCCAACACAAACACACCTCTACACCCAACACAAACACACCTCTACACCCAACACAAACACACCTCTACAACCAACACAAACACACCTCTACACCCAACACAAACACACCTCTACACCCAACACAAACACACCTCTACAACCAACACAAACACACCTCTACACCCAACACAAACACACCTCTACACCCAACACAAACACACCTCTACACCCAACACAAACACACCTCTACACCCAACACAAACACACCTCTACACCCAACACAAACACACCTCTACACCCAACACAAACACACCTCTACACCCAACACAAACACACCTCTACACCCAACACAAACACACCTCTACACCCAACACAAACACACCTCTACACCCAACACAAACACACCTCTACACCCAACACAAACACACCTCTACACCCAACACAAACACACCTCTACACCCAACACAAACACACCTCTACACACCAACACAAACACACCTCTACACCCAACACAAACACACCTCTACACCCAACACAAACACACCTCTACACCCAACACAAACACACCTCTACACCCAACACAAACACACCTCTACACCCAACACAAACACACCTCTACACACACAACAAACACACCTCTACACACACAAAGACACCTCTACAACCAACACAAACACACCTCTACACCCAACATAAACACACCTCTACACACCTCTACACACACAAAGACACCTCGACAACCAACACAAACACACCTCTACACCCAACACAAACACACCTCTACACCCAACACACCTCTACACCCAACACAAACACACCTCTACACCCAACACAAACACACCTCTACACCCAACACAAACACACCTCTACACCCAACACAAACACACCTCTACACCCAACACAAACACACCTCTACACCCAACACAAACACACCTCTACACCCAACACAAACACACCTCTACACCCAACACACCTATACACCCAACACAAACACACCTCTACACCCAACACAAACACACCCCAGACTCACAAAGGGCAACACTCGATGGACATACATAATTCACAAAGAGTAGACGGAGAGGCTGAAGCTAACTACATTCTCTCTTTCCTTATCTCCCCTTCTTCTCTCTTTCTGACCGCCTATCTTCTTCTCCTCTCCTCCTCTACCTTCATTCCTTCCTTCCCTCCTCTCCGTCACCTACTCCATCCATACCTACCTCCCTCACTCACCGAGTGAGTGAGTGGGTGATAGGGGGAGGGGCGAGTGGGGGAAGTGATCATTGATTGTTAGCCTCATACAGTCATAAATATTCCCCCCCCCCTTCCCCCCTAACAGGATTAAGGTGTTGTAAGGTGTTTCCCGGTTACAGTGGGAGATTTAACTCAATGTGTGTATATGTGTGTGTTTACTGTTTGTGAACGTAGACTCGAGCTATTAGCTTTTGGACCCTGCCTTTCTAACCGATCTATTTTCCTCTATTACATCCACTACATATATAAATATCTTAGATCCAGCACACACGTGCGTGTGAAAAGAAAGAGAGAGAGAGAGAGAGAGAGAGAGAGAGAGAGAGAGAGAGAGAGAGAGAGAGAGAGAGAGAGAGAGAGAGAGAGAGAGAGAGAGAGAGAGAGAGAGAGAGAGAGAGAGAGAGAGAGAGAGAGAGAGAGAGAGAGAGAGAGAGAGAGAGAGAGAGAGAGAGAGAGAGATCACCAATAAACAAGAGAGGTTGGTAGGCCTGGTTCACACCTGAGACAAGCTAACAACGCTCCACCAGGTGTCAACAGGTGACTGGTGTTGCCATGGCTACGCTGACGCCACTGTCTCTCCGTCCTCCTCTCCAACAAGGCGCAAAATTACGTATGTTAAATTTAAATGTGTATATGAATGAGATCAGACGCATACATGTGCAGACTGTTTCATATAAAATTAACACACACGCGCACATACATACACCCCCCCCCCAACCATAGCCAACACTCACTCACTCTCACTCACAAACACTCACTCATACACTCTCACTCATACATTCAAATGTAGATATGATAGAGCCCAGTAGGCTCAGGAATCTGTACAGCAGTTGATTGACAGTTGGGAGGCGTAACCAAAGAGTCAGAGCGAGGGTCTGGGTACCACACGAAACCCCCCTCCACCTGCCGGAAGAGATGGTATTCAATCGAAGTGACATCACGGTCCCATAGTTTCCAAAATATCGCCAAACCAGGTCTTCTGAGAATTCAAAAGGTATCCCATGCAGCGCCACATACGTGAGTGAGCAGCACCGGTCGGAGACAGAGACAGTACCACCGTCATCAGGGAGGGTAAACGAACGCCCATCATAACGGGCCACGAAGTCTATATAAACAGCCGGCGAATGGAACTTAACGAGCGCCCGGTGGTCCGTGAGGAGTTGTACATCAAACACTTTAACAATGAACATATCCAACATAAGTACTTACATGGCAAGGTACGACGCGCTGCCCGAAAACTCCAGGCCGCCAACCGTCTCCGAACGGCGGATAGGGGGAAGGAGGGTCCCCATGACGCCAAACAAAGCTTTGCTTTGGACACCAACTCGAGCACACCGACCGGGTTCGTGTGCCCGGTCCGGACACACCAACTATCGGGTCAACACTGGGAGCTTCACGGAAAGTACACCCCTCACCCGACGATCTCTGGCAGCCGAATTAGCTCTTGAAATAGAACATTCTCTGTAACTAGCTGACATTGTAGTTATAAGGTGTGAAGGATAGATGAAATTGTTTATGTAATAATCTAAGTTGAGGTCTGATAAAGACCTTTTGTGCCTTCTGTAATGCTTTTTGCGCTACCACTCACAGGATAAGTATGGGGTGCACAATAAACTAGCCGGTGGCAACAATAAAAAAGGTACAGTTGACGACTGATATCAGCTGATTTGTGGTGGAATGATGTCTACACTTAACAATGTTGCTTCTTAGAGGCACTGTAACATATAGATAGGAACTCGTAGTGACAAAAAACACAGGTTTAGCTGGGTTGAATAATAACTAACACAATAATGAAATGTAGACTCTAGAGCACTCTATCTTTGAAAGCATTATAGATACTTGGAAAAATTATACCTCAAAAGCGAAATCTCACACTATTACTTCACTCAGAAAGTGACATGAGAAGTTGCAGTAGCTGCATGCCTGATAGGAGCAAAAATCTACATCCATCAGTTTCGAGACTGATGGATGTACGCCGCACTACAAGTCATTACTGGGAACACCGTGGCTCAATACCTGTAAAATTTAATCAACAGTTAAGCCTCAGCTCCAAAGAGGACTAGTACTTACAGATGTTCTAAATGTTCTAAAGTAATGTTCTAAAGAACATTACTCGCAATAATAAACACATGTCCTTGGTGACATGTATATATTGTCGGCTACAGTGGTTGTGGTAAGCAACAATGACAGACGGCAGTACACACATCGACTGGGCACCAGATTAGGCAGTGGCAATCATCCTAGTGAGGGGTTGTTGCTTCACACATAGTCTATCGTAATAGGTGTGTGGCTGAACTCTTCTTCACTCTTACGGTGTGATGCGCACAACAGCATATCCAGCAGAGAACCACATCACGCCTGACAAGAAACAATTTGATTACTGTAGAGCTTTTGGGGAATATAATCTGACATATGGCAGCCCATCCTCAAATCAATCTTTAATGAAAATGTGATCGCGCAACTTTTCCCATTTACCTGCATATTACGTGTTGAACAAGTCTCTGTAACGTAACACTTCACTCACCTTCCCATAGCCACTTCCTTAGTTATCACCTGATTTGTATTATTTAATAATTCAATCTTTTCTATTCGCTGTTCCATGTTCATATGCACCAAGTTTAAATATAAATTTAGGTAATAATACATAAGCCTTAACTCCAACTGAAACCATTAAAACGAGAGATAATTGTACGTTCACAGCAAATTTGTGTTCCATATTTACTCTCTATTAGAGTTTAATTACCAGAACAATTCCATACATGTATGGCTTAATGACTTCAATCAATCTTAATTAGTTGATTTTAACAGCCCTTTTTACAAGGAAATTTAACAATGCTTCATTGTTAACGTTTTCATTAAGCTATATAATTAAGTATTTAATATTCACAATACGTTTATCCCAGTCATTGGTTCTATCAATTTCCTGTTGTTAGTCTCTGGGGGAATGATCGTGTTTGTTGAGCGTGGAATGTTGTTTACGGCTGACGGCGAGGAGATGTGCTGGCAGGTGAAGTGGGCAAAATGGAGGTGCAGTGAAATCGAGTGAGAATAGTTGTAAGTCGAAGTGAGATGAGATGAGTCACTGTGAGGCGTGATGTGAAACAGTGAAGTGAAATCAGAAAATTGGGAACATCAAGTGATCTGATGTTCCCATCACTGAAATATAAGAAAAACAGTTAAAAAATGAAATGAAAATATGAAAAAATACAAAAATAAACTATACTCACGAAATGAACGGTACGGTAAACAACACAGCTCAATTCCAGCACAATTCACACAAAATAATTAAATCAAAATGAAAATAAATAAAAATCTTTGAAAATTCAATTTATCAGTGCAATCAGAAACATTGAAATGGAATTGTAACATATTTTCAAGAAAAGCATAGTTTTATTTGTCACAGGTGTGGCATCTATGCTTATACTTACGAAATGAATGGTATGGTAAACAACGCAGCTCAATTCCAACACAATTTTGGAATTGAGGAACGCAATTCAACACAAAGGAACACAAATGCAAACAAGCCTGAATGGTCCTCAGGCATATATGCAACTGAAAACTCACCCCAGTCTAGTCCTGGGGTGTGAGTTCAGAGTCCAGGATACAGAACCAGAACTTTTTCCATTTTTACAATTACTAAGAATTCTGGGGTTTCATAATACGAAATTTTCCCGTTTCCTTTACCCAACGAAAAGGATGATGTTTGTTTGAACAAAATGACAATAATTCGGGTTTTCCACAAACCCTGCCGGAAAAAAATATTATATATATATACATGTTAAATTGTTTATACATTACTTAAAAAGATATCTACAAGCAACTATAATTATTTAATACTTATATAAGTATTGAAAAGTTGGTACGTGACGACAGTAATCATAATATTGCATGATTATATGATCAGTTTTCGTAATCTGCAATTTTAAAAGTCTGCATGCATACCTTTATGTTTTTTTTAGCGTTCATATTATTTTTGTCAAAACTTTAGTTCATATAATGTTATCTGATCCAGGCGTCCCTTGTTTTTTTAACATTAGTTTCAGCAGTTTTCATGTAAAATATACATATTTCCGTTGCATATTTCACTCACCTCGCTGTGTGAGTTCACTGAGCACAGCCATGCCGGTTAGTATTACAAAGGAACTTCAATCACCTTCTGTAGTTGGGTGCGCCATAGCTCACTATGCACTGTAACAGCTCTCTAACTCTATGAAGGACAGATGAAAATGTATATACTGTTTATATGTATGCTGTTTAACATGTCCGTGTCTGTGGTAATTACAATAAAAAAGAAAAACAAATCTCTCTCGTTCAACAAACGGGTATACACGATGACATACGAACCTGTGGTATGACTTGTATATCAATCCTTACTTTGATCCTCTTCCTCACACACTGTACATTCTAATCTCATGCAGCAGACTTGTACATGCAGATAGGCAGACACAGGATGAGGAAAGAGTGAATGTTAATATGAATTTCAGTTCCCGGCCTCTTACATGCGTACACAATGAGTACAGTTGTGTACACTGTACCGCCAAGAACGGCCTGTTTTAGGCTTGTACATCGTCGACCTGTCCGGCCTGCAAGAGGGAGGGACCAGTTAGCTGACGTCGGGGAGATCAAACTGCTCCTCCCAGCCCAATTCAGGCCTCTTTATGACGTTAATTTTCCCGCGTAGAAGAGAAAGAAAGAATCCTTGAGAGAAAGTAGGAATGTAAGGGGAAATTATTTTTAGGAAAGGAGTTGGAGAGGAGGTTGATATAGGGGAAGTTGAAGAAGAAACAGAGAGTGCTGCCGCTCCAAGCTGAGAGAGTTGCCCTTCGCTAAGCCCATTTTAATTTCCTGATCTGCTATCTCACTTTCTATTTCCCTCGCTGCGACAGACCTTTGCCTCTCGTCTACATTTTCGCCGCCGTCACATCAGTCTCCATCTGCTTCCCGTCTCAATCTCCATCACTGTTTCCGTTTCATCTTGAGTCTGGTCGTCGTGCTCCATCCCTCTCTCTTAGCAGTCCAACACGCCTATTTAGTCATTCTTGGATGACTTTACAACAGCGGCAACTCTAATCTAACCCAACATGATCTACCTCATCGTGGCTAGTCATGGACACACCTCCGAGTTAAGCTAAGGAAGATTTAGAGATGATACGCTTAGCATGTTTGAAATGGCCTTATTAGTTAGATAAAGCAGAATAAATATTAATTTAGGATTGACAAGGCTAAACTCTCTCTCTTTCTTTCATAAACTTCAATATAAAAAAGCACAAAAATTGCTAAATACGTCTATGGATAGCACAAACTTTATATCAGATTCGACTTTCTGAAATCTACAAGGAGTGGGGTGTGTTGCTATATTTGGCGATATCTCTTAAAATGTGGCACTAGGGCCAACCCTGACGCCCTATAACTCTCCCAAACTACCCCTTGAGTAGTCTTGGAAAGCCTCCAGCCTCAGAAAGAAAGACAAACATTCTCTTGTATTATATGTACGTACTGACACTATATACAACACTGTGGGTAATATTCTTTTATTTGCGTCCCAGGTGATCCAAGTTAATGAAATGTTATTACCCCGCTAATATGACAGCATCTTACATGACGCAGATGAAGCACCATAGGACCCGGATTCACGAAGCAGTTACGCAAGCACTTACGAACCTGTACATCTTATCTCAATCTTTGGGGCTTTGTTTACAATTATTAAACAGTTAATAAGCTCCGAAACACCTGCAGGCTGTTTATAACAATAATAACAGTTGATTGGCAATTTTCATGCTTGTAAACTGTTTAATAAATGTAACCAAAGCCGTCAAAGATTGAGGAAAAATGTACACGTTAGTAAATACTTGCGTAACTTCTTCATGAATCTGGCCCTCTGATTGCTTCCAAACACTTCAGCGGAGCTCAGCGGCAAGAATTGACATCTGAGTGCCATTTGGTCACTTGTATGACCAACCTAATTGTGTTATTGACTTGTAGCCTCTCAGTAGGTGCACATACTTCCTCTCCCAGCTCCATCCTACATTATCTTTTACACATCCTTTTTTCCTCTTTCCAGTTCTCGTTCTCTCTCTCTGTTCCACCCAAGAGCTCCCCCATCCCTTCCCTTCCCATCCAGTGACCATAGACCGGGATACATCGCCTCCCTCACCTCCCCTTCCAATCCCCGTCAGCACATATACATTTCTGCTCTCCCGCTGCCCGGCCAGGCCGCTAGGGAGTGTCGGGATCACTGATTGCCAATACGCGTTTAAACACGAGCAGGAATAGGCGGCTGGAGCTCCAGGGACTCTCAGCACGCCTTCAACATGACCACAGGGTGCGAGGAACGGGTGCAGCATGAGCAGAGGGGCTACAATAGGGTGCAGTATTCAGCGCCGCGGTGCAAGTCAGCGCCCCGGTGCAACAGTCAGAGCCCCCCGGTGCAACAGTCAGCGCCCCGGTGCAACAGTCAGAGCCCCGGTGCAACAGTCAGCGCCCCGGTGCAACAGTCAGCGCCCCGGTGCAACAGTCAGCGCCCCGGTGCAACAGTCAGAGCCCCCCCGGTGCAACAGTCAGCGCCCCGGTGCAACAGTCAGCGCCCCGGTGCAACAGTCAGCGCCCCGGTGCAACAGTCAGCGCCCCGGTGCAACAGTCAGCGCCCCGGCGCAACAGTCAGCGCCCCGGTGCAGCAGTCAGCGCCCCGGTGCAACAGTCAGCGCCCCGGTGCAGCAGTCAGCGCCCCGGTGCAACAGTCAGCGCCCCGGCGCAACAGTCAGCGCCCCGGTGCAGCAGTCAGCGCCCCGGTGCAACAGTCAGCGCCCCGGTGCAGCAGTCAGCGCCCCGGTGCAACAGTCAGCGCCCCGGTGCAGCAGTCAGCGCCCCGGTGCAGCAGTCAGCGCCCCGGTGCAGCAGTCAGCGCCCCGGTGCAGCAGTCAGCGCCCCGGTGCAACAGTCAGCGCCCCGGTGCAGCAGTCAGCGCCCCGGTGCAACAGTCAGCGCCCCGGTGCAGCAGTCAGCGCCCCGGTGCAGCAGTCAGCGCCCCGGTGCAACAGTCAGCGCCCCGGTGCAACAGTCAGCGCCCCGGTGCAGCAGTCAGCGCCCCGGTGCAGCAGTCAGCGCCCCGGTGCAACAGTCAGCGCCCCGGTGCAACAGTCAGCGCCCCGGTGCAACAGTCAGCGCCCCGGTGCAACAGTCAGCGCCCCGGTGCAGCAGTCAGCGCCCCGGTGCAGCAGTCAGCGCCCCGGTGCAACAGTCAGCGCCCCGGTGCAGCAGTCAGCGCCCCGGTGCAACAGTCAGCGCCCCGGTGCAACAGTCAGCGCCCCGGTGCAACAGTCAGCGCCCCGGTGCAGCAGTCAGCGCCCCGGTGCAACAGTCAGCGCCCCGGTGCAACAGTCAGCGCCCCGGTGCAACAGTCAGCGCCCCGGTGCAACAGTCAGCGCCCCGGTGCAACAGTCAGCGCCCCGGTGCAGCAGTCAGCGCCCCGGTGCAACAGTCAGCGCCCCGGTGCAACAGTCAGCGCCCCGGTGCAACAGTCAGCGCCCCGGTGCAGCAGTCAGCGCCCCGGTGCAACAGTCAGCGCCCCGGTGCAACAGTCAGCGCCCCGGTGCAGCAGTCAGCGCCCCGGTGCAACGCTTGTAGAGAGATATATTTCCCCAGGAATTTGTGGAGAGCGAAATCTTGCCCATCAAAGTATGTGTGACGAGCGAGAAATTACCTTTTAAGAAATGTGTGGAAGAGTGAGGTCTTGTGTCAAGAGTGACGTGGAGGGCTTCTCTGGTGAGGGACGACGCGGATAGTGCCTCATAACTCCTACAAAATATAAAGAGCGACAGAGTCAAAGTCAAGTGAGAAAGAGCGACATTTTCTCACTTGAGAAAAAGTGAGAGATTTTGTGGTAAAAAGATAGAGAGATTATGTAGGGTAACGTGGAAGAATTAGGTGTATAAAAGGAAAAGTGTAGAAATTTGATTGGAAAACGTGTATAGACAGCTCCGGTCCCAAGAAGAAATCTAAAAAGTATCTACCCATCGAGAGAACAAGCAGAATGTGACGTTGTCCGGCCAGAACTCCTGAAGAAAGGGTCTTCTTCCCTCCCCCTCCCTCTCCCCTCTTCCCTCCTACAAAGAAAACGTGGAGAGACAGCTGCTGTCCTTCAAGAAAAAATAAGAGAGAGTGGAATTCTGTCCTTAACGGGAGGTGTGGAGAGGACAGAATTGCTCTCACCCCGGCAAGAACTAGGTGGAGTTTGTGGTTCACGTCGGGAGGATGGGAGGAGTTTTTCTTCGTCCTCTGGATAAGACGCAAAACTGCCGCCAAACTTTTGACTTGAGAATAAGAAAAAATCTTAATTTATCATGATTTTTTTTTTCAATGTGTTCTTTTAACACTTTTGTTGGTGGTTCGAGGTTGATGAGGATGAAGGCGGTTGTGGTGGACAATGAGTGGTTGGTGGTGAGGCAGGTGAGGGTGGTAGTTGTGGGCATGGTATGGGTAGTTACCTCACAATGTCTACGAGAGAGTGAGGTGTAACGCATTGTGCCTCGCCTACCAGCCTTGAGGAACCTTTTGCCTTGCAATTTAACTATTATCAAATTCTTTGCCGAATCTGGCCTTAAAGCGGTTGACGGAGATGGCTTCCACAACTTCTTTAAGTGCATTCCTCTTGTTGATCACCCGTACAGGGTACGAATATTTCCATAGCAGCCGCATATAACAGCCTAGTTGATGAGACCAGCAATCAGAAGGCCTGGTTAGAGACCGGGCCGCGGGGAAGTTGATCCTTGGAATCATCAACAGGTAGTAAACAGGCTCATTTGTGTTTCTTGCTTCCTCCTGTATTCTACCATCGTACTTTCTTTCAAATTTAAAAGGCTATCCTTGTCGACTATATCTATTTCCCCCTCAGTGTCTTGTATATTGTGATCATATCTCTCTGTTCCTTTTATCCTCTACGGTTGTGAGACTTTGTTCCTTTAATCAGCTTATCAGCTCTTAGCTTAGCTCTCGTAGGTTTGGCACAAATTCTATTACAATTCTCTTAAACGTTATAAGTCTTGGTGTTGTGCTTCACAAGGAGCGGATTCCAGGCCAGAACTGCATATTTTATTGATCTTACTTGAGCTAATTTGAACCTTTATTTAGATTTTTTAAATGACCGGTTGTGTTTGTCAACTTTCCACATGTTGTCTAAATGATGCTGTTTATATGTGCCTTTCTTGTAATATTTGAGTTTGATAATTTCCAAAGTACTTTTCTCTTTCCTCTTTCTGTTATTGTCCTTGTATTATTGCATAGTCTTTTGTGGTCTGGTTACGTCTCGCTCCCTTGGCTCTTCACACTGGTAAGTTTTTTAGAACTCTTGAAATCTCTTCCTGACTTCTTTGCTCGCTTCCTACTTTTTCTCTGTGAGAGTACCCCCTTTGTCTTCTCAGCTTGATCTCCTTGTCTCTTAGCGTTTTCTCCCCTATTAATTGATACAACAGCTTTCGTTATTCTTTAGCTGGTGGTGGGCATCGTGGGACGATAACCATTATATCGTCGCCTCTCAGACTGTGGCCAAGACATCAGAATATACTCAGCCGTTATGTATATCAAGTAAACCGAGGAAATCACCTACTGCAAAATCACAGCAGTAAGTCCAACATAAGCCACCAATGACAAGCCACAGAAAGGTTTACTTGATAGATTTCTCAGCCAGGTGGAGTGAAGAGCATGTTTGAACCCAAGCAGTGTACTGTCGGCTCTGTGTACGTGTGTCATAAGCAAGGTAGCTCACATTGCGACCTGAACCTCACCACCAACTGCCTCAGAGCCACCAGTTTTCTCACCTAACCAGCTACCACTGCGTCTACAGGCATCCAACAATTGTGATCCATTCATAGCTAGACTTATCTGTTCATCATCCATGTAAGTTATGATGTAAAATATCAACAGAGTGTCGATATGAGCTACAGCTCATATGCTACTGAAATCTTGTGTGTGGAACAATCAGTTCCCAGTCGCGATCCACTGTGAAACTATACCATTATCAGCTAATTACTGAGTCTGTAGAGTTGTGTATTTACCAATTCTCTGAGCAGGGAGTGTGTTTTACCTCACTCACTTTACCTCACTTACCTCACTTATCTTCTCCATCAGCTTGCATGGTATGCAAGTTAGGGACACTGGCCTGTAGTTCAGTGCCCCCTGTCTTTCCCCCTTCTTGTATATCGAGACTACATTAGCCGCTTTCCAAATTCTTGGCAGTTCCCCTCTTGCCAGTGATTATGTGTCTGTATGTGTGTTTGTGTGTTACGTCCTCCCCGGTTCCTGTGTGTTCCGGTTCTGTATGCATGTCTGTGTTGATTTTTGTATTTTCCGTGTGGCCCTTCTGGCTTGATTTGTCCTCTTTGCTTCGTATGTTTGTTGTGTGTGACCTTTTGTGACACATGACTGGTTTTGTGTATTACCTTTGTGCAGTGTGTTTGTGTATCCTGTTTTGTGTCCTAATTACTGCTATGTGCTTGTAATATTCTTAGGTTACTGTTTTTACGTTTCTGCTCATGTACCATGTTCAGTGTTACTTGCTACCTTATGTGGACCTTGTTTGGTTCTTTGTTTTGTTTCTCTGTTATGCTACTTTTCTTAATTATCATGTTTTCCATGTTTTGTACTTGTGTGTGTCTTTCCTATGTGTTCAGTGCTTTGCTCAGGTGTAGGGCTACAGTATTTTGTATATTGTTTGTGGTGTTTTTGTGTGTTGTATATTGTGTATTGTGACTGTAGAAATTTGTATTGTACTTGTTCGCATGCTCCGCATGTAAAATTAAAAATAAAAAAATAAAAATTCTCTGAGCATGCGACTAGATAAATTATTCAGCCATTCTGCTGATCAAGCTGCAGAGCGAATATTTCTTGTAACTATTATACACATATAAATAATATTTGGTGTTTACAATGCCATACAATGCATGTGATGTCTTTTCAGATAAACTGAGTTTCCTGACTCCACATGTATTTATTATGTGCAGGCTTTGTTTATATCTGGATATACCGACTGTATCTAGATATACTGAATATATCTGGCTCTGTGCCCGAGGACCACCATTGTTCCAACATTTGCTGCAGTGTCAATAGAGACAGCGTTAAGTGTCAATCATTCCCCGGGTTATATTCATCCATTGGACCCGGGAAAATTCTTCTGTAGAAATCGGTACCAATCAATATTTCTTGAAACTTAAGTGACACCAACCCCCTTCTCTTCTAATTAATTAGATTTGTGCAAATATATATCTATATGAAAATGACAACAAGACTTTATTTAAACTGTGACTTATTCTCACTTCACTTTCCTTATGAAGCAGTAAATTATCATATTTCAATAGCAACCATTGACATATACACAATTCTGAACTGTATTTTTTGTTCTATTGCTTTTCTTTCATTCCCTGGCAGGGGGAGTTCTGTAGGGAGTAAACATTATTCTCGCTCCAGTCTCTCATTATCTTACTGGCATAACTAATTAGCACTAATTACTGAAGCTACAATCCTTTTCCCAATTACAGGTAATGCTCTTTTCATCCTGTTGGAGGGAGCTGAGGTGTAGTCAGAATATATAAGCAAGCGATATGAGAATAGCTTTGTCAACTCATGGCACCTGAACAAGGAGCTAAAATTTTAAACATAATTTTAAACTTTTACAGTTCTGAACTGGCAGTCAACGGTGGCCAGGTGAGTTTAACATAAAGAAGCTTAAGGCTTCGTGCTTATACTCAGGTATTGGTGGGATTAAAAGGGCTAGTAATACACACATATTAAGGTACCACGGTACCATCTAATAAGTTGACATTTTTTAAGATCTACAGTTTTAAGGTCTACAGTTTTAAGGTCTACAGTTTTAAGGTCTACAGTTTTAAGGTCTACAGTTTTAAGGTCTACACTAGTGGAATGTCAGCAGCAGTGGGTGTGGTGGAGATGGCGAGAATGGTAGGCACAGTAGTGCTTGTTGTAGTTGGAGTGATGGTCGGTATGGTGAGGGTGGTGACCTGGCTGGCACAGTGCGGTTGGTGGGCTTATGCGAGTTAATTGTGGTGATAATGGTGTTAAGGTTTAACGGCAGCGATTGTAGTGGATGGGGGGGAGGGAGGGCAGGCGAGTGGAGGTGTCTTGAGGAATAGACCGTAAAAAGCTTTGTCATCTGGTTCACAGCAGATCGATCGTTCGACAGTCCAAACAAGGGTTTCGTAGTTACAAAAGAGTATGACGGATGGGTTTTAGTGGCGGGTCGGAGTGCAAATTTATTTTAATGTGTAGACATCTTAAATGGTAAATTACTTCCATAAACGTAGCGTGTAGCGTCATATAATTTAATTGTAAATAATTATTCAGTCCTTGAACACAAGGCCTGAACCCTGACATGGTAAATTCTCCCAAAAATACTAAATAATTAAAATCTTTAATATTTTAATGTCATTTTACCTAGATAAAAAAGGCTAACGGGCTGCAAGTTGCATTCTTGGATTCAACCTCTGGGCTCTTCAAGCTCGGCTGTTCATAACTCCTCAGCACCGTGAGCGATACATTAGGATACAGATTTCTAACCTTTGTCAACTCATGGCACATGAACAAGGAGCTAAAATTTTAAACACAATATATTCTAGATCTGCACTTTGCTCCCTACCGTTAATCATATGCTAATATCTGTCTGTTATTGTTTCATAGTTGACTCTTAAGAGTCGTATTGTCCTCTAGGGCTCGATCCCACCCCTCAACTCCACCCCATTTCAATCTGATGCTGAAAAAAATGACAGTTAAAAATTTAAGGTCTGTATCTAGCAGATTATCTAGAGAGATAAGGACATTAAAACCATCATATAAACTAGAGAAAATATTAAACAAAACATTAGATTATTATAGAGTTGTGAATTAGCACTAACTTCACAAAACTGTGTCAGTAATTTCCCGCTGCAGTAGAGAGGACTGTAGGGTGTAGCAGGGCTACACCCTACACTTGATCAGACCCTAACCTAACCATCAGACTTTAGTTAATGCACCTTGAGGTAATGTCACCGTACATGTGGCTAGAAGTATACACTCCTTAGCAATGTATTCCATCACATATACTACTTCAACTTAAGTGATGATAGTAAGCCTGGCTGGCTGTGTAAAAGAGGCCGGGTCCTCTGAGTTCACCAGGAGAGGGACCCACTGTCACTCACCCTGGGGGATATCATCCAACTGAGTATAAACACGGCTGACTACTTACAACAGTTGATTGATTGACAGTTGAGATGCGGGCCGAAAGAGCAGAGCTCAACCCTCGCAAGCACAACTAGGTGAAACACACACACACACACACACACACACACACACACACACACACACACACACACACACACACACACACACACACACAGAGGTTACCTAAAATGCCCAGTTTTTCTGTGTACAATACAATTTCTCTATAACTGACTCTTTACCAACATTCCATTGATATTTTATACTAAAGGTGATGTGTGAGTAAATAAATAAAAATACATACCTAAATAAAATAAAAACCAGATACGGAATACAAATACAACCAAACGTAAAATAAAATATATAATACCATTAATATTTTTATCAAAAGTATAAACTATTTTCAGAAAATAAACAAAATAAAAAGATGAAGCGTTGGAGGCCACCGGACAGATGGCTCGGGTCGTGAGGCAGGTGGCTCGGGTCGTGAGGCAGGTGGCTCGGGTCGTGAGGCAGGTGGCTCGGGTCGTGAGGCAGGTGGCTCGGGTCGTGAGGCAGGTGGCTCGGGTCGTGAGGCAGGTGGCTCGGGTCGTGAGGCAGGTGGCTCGGGTCGTGAGGCAGGTGGCTCGGGTCGTGAGGCAGGTGGCTCGGGTCGTGAGGCAGGTGGCTCGGGTCGTGAGGCAGGTGGCTCGGGTCGTGAGGCAGGTGGCTCGGGTCGTGAGGCAGGTGGCTCGGGTCGTGAGGCAGGTGGCTCGGGTCGTGAGGCAGGTGGCTCGGGTCCTGTGGCAGGTGGCTCGGGTCGTGAGGCAGGTGGCTCGGGTCATGAGACAGGTGGCTCGGGTCGTGAGGCAGGTGGCTCGGGTCGTGAGGCAGGTGGCTCGGGTCGTGAGGCAGGTGGCTCGGGTCGTGAGGCAGGTGGCTCGGGTCGTGAGGCAGGTGGCTCGGGTCGTGAGGCAGGTGGCTCGGGTCCTGTGGCAGGTGGCTCGGGTCGTGAGGCAGGTGGCTCGGGTCATGAGACAGGTGGCTCGGGTCGTGAGGCAGGTGGCTCGGGTCGTGAGGCAGGTGGCTCGGCTCCTGAAGCAGGTGGCTCGGGTCGTGAAGCAAGTGGCTCGGGTCGTGAGGCAGGTGGCTCGGGTCGTGAGGCAGGTGGCTCGGGTCGTGAGGCAGGTGGCTCGGGTCGTGAGGCAGGTGGCTCGGGTCGTGAGGCAGGTGGCTCGGGTCCTGTGGCAGGTGGCTCGGGTCGTGAGGCAGGTGGCTCGGGTCATGAGACAGGTGGCTCGGGTCGTGAGGCAGGTGGCTCGGGTCGTGAGGCAGGTGGCTCGGCTCCTGAAGCAGGTGGCTCGGGTCGTGAAGCAAGTGGCTCGGGTCGTGAGGCAGGTGGCTCGGGTCGTGAGGCAGGTGGCTCGGGTCGTGAGGCAGGTGGCTCGAGACAAGGAACAAGTGGGTCTGGAGGTGGCACCGTATAGCAACAGCGAGGGAGTAGTTACCATGGGGTGGCTGGCGGTGCCAGAAGGCGCCTGTGACGACCAGCCTCCCTCCCTCATGGGATTAACGCCCAAGCAATTTCCGTTTGCTGGGAGAGGATTAAACTCTATGCCGGTGAGCGGGTAACTGGAGTATACTTTTTGGGCCGGGGTGTGCCTGCTTTGATGCTTATGTGTATGTGTGTGTCTACTCACCTAATTGTGCTTGCAGGGGCTGAGCTTCTGCTCTTTGGTCCTGCCTTTCAATTGTCAGTCAACTGATATACAGGTTCCTGAGCCTATTGGGCTCAGGAACCCCCCCCCCCTTGATTATAGAACAGTCTCTTCTTCTGTCTTAATCCTCCTCATAATTTTCGCATTATCATCAGCTAACATTGAGAGGAACGAATTTATTCCATCATGGAGATCGTTTTTATATATAAGAAACATGATAGGCCCAAGGACTGAACCCTGTGGTTCTCCACTAGTGACGTCTCGCCACTCTGAGACCTTACCCCTCACAGTGACTCGCTGTCTTCTGTTGCTTAGGTACTCTCTTATCCAATGGAGTACCTTCCCTGTTATTCCTGCCTGCACTTCCACCTTATGCACTAGTCTCTTATGGAGTACTATGTCAAAGACTTTCAGACAATCCAGAATTATGCAGTCTGCCCACCTTTGTCTTCCTTAAATTATTGTTGCCTGGTCATACAATTCTATTAAAGCTGAGAGGCAAGATTTGCCATACCAGAACCCATGCTAGTGATGTGTTACAATATTCTCTCTCCAGATGTTCTTCTAGTTTTAGTAGAACTACAGAGAGAAAAAGTAGTTTAGAGAGAAAGTACAGGAGAGAGAGCGAGAGAGAGAGAGAGAGAGAGAGAGAGAGAGAGAGAGAGAGAGAGAGAGAGAGAGAGAGAGAGAGAGAGAGAGAGAGAGAGAGAGAGAGAGAGAGAGAGAGAAAACAGTTACAAATCTATAAAGAAAATACTTAAAAAGAAGAAAAAAATAGTGGCAAAAAAAAAAAAAGTGTCTAGCAATTACGCTCTAAAACTTTTATTCAACTCCCACTAAAAGTTGAGAGTTGATATCAGCTTCACCTTTTTTTCTTTTTGCTCACTCTGACTCTGAATCGAAATGGCATTACGAGTGAAAATATCGCTGAAAACAGAACCAAGGAGGTGAAAACTTTCCACATTAATCCCGGCAGTATAGTGCTTGCCTCCTTCCCTGTGTCAAATACTTCCATATTATCTACATTTCTCCGTCCTGAGGTTCTTCGTGATGTTCCTCTTGTGAAGCCTCTGTTCAGGTGAACACGGGGGTTATATGCCATGTTAATATTTATCAGGTTGCATTACGAGAAGTGTTCATTAACAAATATCTAAAGAATAACTCAAAGAGTTCAACCCTTCCTGCCAGTGATATTGGTCACTATATAGGTCACTATATCACTGGGAGGCAGGGCTGCAGGTCACTATATCACTGGAAGGCAGGGCTGTGGGTCACTGTATCACTGGGAGGCAGGGCTGCAGGTCACTATATCACTGGAAGGCAGGGCTGTGGGTCACTGTATCACTGGGAGGCAGGGCTGCAGGTCACTATAACACTGGGAGGCAGGGCTGCAGGTCACTATAACACTGGGAGGCAGGGCTGCAGGTCACTATATCACTGGGAGGCAGGGCTGCAGGTCACTATATCACTGGGAGGCAGGGCTGCAGGTCACTATAACACTGGGAGGCAGGGCTGTGGGTCACTGTATCACTGGGACCCAGGGCTGCAGGTCACTATATCACTGGGAGGCAGGTCTGTAGGTCACTGTATCACTGGGAGGCTGCAGGTCACTATATCACTAGGAGGCAGGGCTGCAGGTCACTATAACACTGGGAGGCAGGGCTGCGGGTCACTATATGTGTCCTCGCATATATAAAATATCCCCTGACAGTCCTATATGTCAGTTATATGTGAGTATCACAGTAAAGGATGAATATTGTTAAGATGGCAGAGGACTGCGGAGCAACGCCCTCCTCTCCCTTACCTTCCTTACTTTCCCTTTACTTTCTTCTTCGTTACTTTCCCATAATATTCGGTCCTCTTCCCAGCGTATCTGTTCCACCCACACATTTCCCCCTCCCCGTCCCCTCCCTCCACCAGGGTTTTGCACGTCAGGTTCGCTATGATTGATGGTCTCCCGCTGCCTGCAATATGCTGAAAAAATTTATAAAAGATATGGAGATTCGGGACATAATTTTGAGATATAAGTAAAAAAGAAGAAAAAGTTTTACTAAGGGGAATATCTCCAGAGAAAAAATGTTATCTTGAAAAGCGTTTCCGCGCTTGGGGTGGGAAATACCTGTCTTGTGGTCATACGCATCTCTCTTCTCGGGAAGCTGCTGCGGTGTTCAGGAGGAGGCTCCTCTCACCCGGTGAGGGAACTCCTCTCACCCGGTGAGGGAACTCCTCTCACCCGGTGAAGGGGGAACCGGTCACCCGAGAGGGAACTCTTCTCACCCGGCGGACAGAGACTGCTCTCGTCCGGTCAGGGCGGGACCCTTTGGCTATTTCTAATGTTCTATTGTTGCTGTATCTGTCAAGTATTGTCGCTGTATCTGTCGAATATTGACGCTGTATCTGTCGAATATTGTCGCTGTATCTGTCGAGTATTGTCGCTGTATCTGTCGAATATTGTCGCTGTATCTGTCGAGTATTGTCGCTGTATCTGTCGAATATTGTCGCTGTATCTGTCGAATATTGTCGCTGTATGTGTCAAGTATTGTCGCTGTATCTGTCGAATATTGTCGCTGTATCTGTCAAGTATTGTCGCTGTATCTGTCGAATATTGTCGCTGTATCTGTCGAATATTGTCGCTGTATCTGTCGAATATTGTCGTTGTATCTGTCAAATATTGTCGCCGTATCTGTCGAATATTGTCGCCGTATCTGTCGAATATTGTCGCCGTATCTGTGGAATATTGTCGCCGTATCCGTCGAATATTGTCGCTGTATCTGTCGAATATTGTCGCTGTATCTGTCGAATATTGTCGCCGTATCTGTCGAATATTGTCGCCGTATCTGTCGAATATTGTCGCTGTATCTGTCGAATATTGTCGCTGTATCTGTCGAATATTGTCGCTGTATCTGTCGAATATTGTCGCTGTATCTGTCGAATATTGTCGCCGTATCTGTCGAATATTGTCGCTGCATCTGTCGAATATTGTCGCCGTATCTGTCGAATATTGTCGCTGTATCTGTCGAATATTGTCGCTGTATCTGTCGAATATTGTCGCTGTATCTGTCGAATATTGTAGTGTCGCTAGTCAGGGTGTCTCTGGTGACGGGCTGGTTGTGTGTAGAAATGATGTGAACCTTTGACTGAACGTTATGGTTAATGCATTGCCAGGGAGCCTTACAAAAGATGTCATATCTATATCTACAAAATGGAATATCATCTGTTTTTGTTTATCTGTCCTAGATTTAAGGCAAAATGCTTGGGCCTTGACTCAGTGAACTTTTTAGGGTGACTAGTCATAAAGTAGTCCAGGTGCCCCGCTCGAAGAGGTGTCAGCCTTCATGAAGTCAGTGTTGGTGAAATGTTCAGGGTAGAATCCACAGTTGATCAGACCACCCACTAGAAGGTGAAGGGACGACGACGTCTCGGTCAATCCTGGACCATTCTCAAGTCGATTGTGACTAGAATCCATAGTTTCTCAATGTAATTATTTTACCTCAAGTACGTCACAAAGTATGTAACCCTTCATACATTCGAGGGTAGCTGTATAGATGTAGACGTACCTTAATATGTTATTAAAAAATAGTTATTCATGGGCTCCCAACACTTAAATGGCACAATCTTTCGTGGGCATCCGGGCACTGCCGGGTACCCAAGCTATTTGGCTATAAACTGACACCGTTGGTGCTCACAGTCTTTAAGTGGGCATGTCAAGGCTCAGAACATATTTTGTCTCTTTAAAGTCAACCAGTTTGATATCGGGAGAGTTCTTCACGAGCAAGGGACCAACCACTTGGGCTGGACGGTAGAGCGACGGTCTCGCTTTATGCCATCCGTCCCATCCCAAATCTATATCCTGTATATCTATACCACTCTTCCAAGTAGTATATAGTCGCAATGGCTTGGCACTTTCACTTGATAATTCCATTCCATTCACGAGCAAGTTAGCGGTCTCCGTACCCTCGTAGTAGAAGGTGAGCTGCTGTATCTTGTGGTTAGTGTTGCTCAGGGTTACATTTCTTTCAGTTATATCTATCAGAACTATTTCCTCCGTCTTGCTAGCCGATGAAAAGAATTTCCTGTAGCTGCCCAGGAGCTGTAAGATATCTATGGCTCGTAAGAACTATTTTGTGTGTGTGTTTCTGTATTTTATTCAATCAATTTTGTAACCAATAGATTGAAATGCTACCATTAGTAGAGTTGCAATTATTGGTAAGTGTGATACTTGTGTTTACAAAATTCCCTGTATAGCATGCAATCAATATTATGTTGGACATGACCATATAGCATTAGAACAGGAACTGCAGGTGATAAATTCCCTTCATTAAGACTTACTAAACACAACTCGTTCACAACTATTGAACACCACTTGTTCACAACTACGAAAGGCACTCTTTCACAATCTCAGTACACCTCTCACAACCACTGAACACCTCTCACAACCACTGAACACCTCTCACAACCACTGAACACCTCTCACAACCACTGAACACCTCTCACAACCACTGAACACCTCTCACAACCACTGAACACCTCTCACAACCACTGAACACCTCTCACAACCACTGAACACCTCTCACAACCACTGAACACCCTTCACAACTACAACACCCAAAGTATGAACGAGAAATTTCAGATATTCAGTCGAGTCTCACAGAATGTAAAAATTTCAGCCTCATCTCAACTTCGGAAACTAACATTGGCTGAAAGAATTCTTACTAATGCGAGTAAATGAGTAAAGTTCCACAATGTCGCATGTGGCGACATTTTGGCCA